AAGTTTTCCCCTACAGTCGCCTATGATGAGCGCGCGTCGCGTCGACTCACAGACGTGGAAAATCTGACGGATGTGAATACGCGACACGTATAACATATCTATACGTCGCATACATATAGCATTCGAAAGAGCGGACACGTAACAATTACCGTAGCCGCGAGGGTGACTGACGTACGTCAAGGTCGTCAAAGCGAACCTGTTTCTTATCAGGCGATTACGGACGGTGTCATAAAAGGATAGAAGATTAATTAAAAATCGGCTGTTATGGCATATTCAATAACGATAAGAGATGATATATAATTAAACGTAAAAATACATGGCACATCAGTAAAATAAAATTATTGCAATTTAAACTTCATTAATTTTCAGGACACAAGCATTTTATAAACAATGCATAATAATAATATAAATATTTTAATTTGACATATTCTAATAAGTCATTAACGATTAATCAGCTTGTTACATTTGTTTTAATAAAGATATACATTTTTTATTATTATTTTATATCAAAAGTTGAAAAAAGATACTTCTAAAATCGTAAATGTCTTCTTCTAATTCAACGATAAGGACTCATCATTTCTTATGAGGTTTTATCTTGTTATTTGTTTTTTGATTGGTTTTTTTATTCTATTTTCTTATTTTGCATAATACAATATATTTTAAAGTGAAATATATGATGTAGAATAAGTATTTCAAAATTTGTTTTAATATAGTTTTAAACATTGTTTGAAATTGTACTCTGTTGTTTATAAAATAATGAACAGATATTTATCATCTTGAATTGCTTTGCAATTTGTATTATATGAGAGAATTTAATATTAAAATAGGTTAAAATCAAATATTCATACATTCTCACACATAGCCACCTCTGCTTCGAAAATGGCAGCAATAGATGCCTCTTTATCTCTCATAATCTTATCGTTGATCATTGTCATCTGACTCGCGGTTCTCGAAAGCGCAGAAAAAATTCATATATGCGTATATCGTAACTATCATCAAAGTTTATTATACCCATTTAGCAGAGGCTGTGCCTTTAGCAAAATCATATTAAAGAATTTTTGGCGGCATATATAGTGTGTATCTCAGAGACTGTCAAATTCTATATTACCATTTCTCTCTTAAAATAATATATTAGATAGATGATTGATTCAATATTAAAATTTAAATACTCAATAAATTATTAACAATTAAAAATGCGAGAATTTGATATTATATATGATAAAAGTTAGATATGGTAAAAGAAGTGAGATAGACTTAAATATAAATAATCTTGAATAATACATCTTTTTCTTTTTATTTAAAATAAAATGTTAATTTTAGACGTAATTGTGTGTAAAAAAAAAAATAAATAAAAACTCTAAAAT